GCTGTGACAAGAATTCTGCCAGTAGCAGAATGGGCCCTACCTTAAATGAAGTGAAACTGCCATTAGATAGGCTTCATCCTGCCCCCCCCATACACACATCTCCACCATCCCCCACTTGTTAATGGCCTTTTGGTTTGTTTTCTCAGAACACTTCACCTTTTCTTCTTTATTTCCACATATACTTCAAAGTGACTGGAAGAACACATGTGTAACCTACATCTCCTGGAGATGATGGGATTACTTCATTCAGAGCCTTTCTCAAAATCCCATTTTCCATGAAGACTTCAGCATAGCTCCTTACCTTCACTGCCCAAAACTGCTACTCAGTCTAAAACTAAGGCAAATCATTTGCAGCTAAACAATCACATTGTCCTGTTTATCTCTTCCCTAATTTCATGTCCCTTCCTTTCTTTCCAAAGTGGTAGCTGCATTTGTTTATCATAGCAAAAACAACAAAGAATATTGTTGCGCCAAGAAGTTTTATGTAGCACCAGTTGTTATGGGCTATAACTTACTTCATCAGAAGTTTGGAGTGTTATGTCTGTTGTGTGCATTTTGTGCCATCAAATCAGAAGTGAGTTATAGTCACCCTTATTGAGCTTTCAAGATAAGTGAGATATTTAAGGAGTGGGTTTACCAGTTCCAGTACCCTAGTGAGTTCCCATGGCTAAACAGGGATTTGAACTCTGTCCTCCAGAGTCCTAGTCCATCACCCTATCCACTACTACAGTGATCCCCAACCTTGGGCCTCCAGATGTTCTTGGACTACAGCTCCCAGAAGCCTTCACCACCACCTCCCACTTTCTGGGAGTTGCAGTCCAAGAACATCTGGAGGCCCAAGGTTGGGGACCACTGAACTACTACACCACACTGGGAATGCAGTATGTAGCCAGTATGTAGCCATACATAGATTCTTTGTCCACAATCCCTGTGTCAAGTCTTAGACTGCAAGATCATCAAGGCATCTTCTACAGGTCTTCATCATCCTGGGCACCATAGAGCTGTGAATAGTGTAGGGGGCCAGGACATAAAAGTCCCCAAAATCATGGCCAAATTGGCTTGCCAGGCTACTTTGTTAAAAATCAAGTTCAAATTAAGGACTGCAAATCAAATAATTTTCTTTTTTTATATTTTGTAATTTGTCGGGCACACTGATGCTAGCAACAACAACACACTTGTTGTCATCAACATCTTAGAACTTCAGAGTTGGAAGGGAATTTATGAATCATCAAGTCCAGCCCCTGTCAGGGATGCACAGTTGGAAACTTATAGTATGACTGCACAGCCAGATACCTAAACCACTGAGCTATCCAGTTCGCAGTAATGATGATGATGTAATATTTGTCTCATGTTCCAAATAGTCAATTAATAGGAGGTACAGTAGGTGGCTATCGACACTATATATCTGGCTTGTATTTTAAACAGAACTCCAAAGATTTATAGTGTAGCCAATGAGGATTTTACTTCTACGGTTTAAACACAAGCTCACCATATGATCCCTATGAATTGACTAGTTACAGTAACTAGTTAGCAGAAATATGCAATAACTTTTTAAAAATACACATCAGCTTCAAAATCCTAAAACAAAACACAGAAATATAAACTGTTTGGAGTACAAAATGTTTTATTGAAACTTAACTAAATGTAATAATTTCTTAAATGTTAGCAAACAAACTTGACATCTCTTCTTTTTATGGCCTTGCACATCATCTAAAGTACTTTATTGCACGTAAAATCACCCACACTGCAATTCAGGAGATGTTTACAAATAACTAGAGGAAATCTTTTAATACAATTGATATGAAGAATCATTGTTTTCTACTATGAGGATAACATTCCACATGCAGTCACTTGCATGAACTGGTCCACTCATTTGTATCATGTAGTTAAAAGCATCAACAAGCAAGTTATGGAATACTATCCTACAGGATACCTTATTGGCTGTATCATTTCTTGCCACTTGACTTGCCGTTGAAACTTACTCATTCCAGCTGGCTTTAGCTTCCAGTTATGTACTCTAGGTATACCAATAATAGGCAATTGATTGCTGTCCAGCCATGGGACTACAGTCCCCATCAGTCCTAACCAACATGCCACTGGCGAGGCATGCTGAGAGACATTGGCCAGCAGTATCTGAAAGGCTGCCATTTGCCCATTGTGGAGTACATTGATCCGTTGATGTTGCTATATCAGTTTTCTATCTTGTTTTACTATTGTGATATTAATAATACTGTATGTTCTGGGGTCTAAATTCAGTGGCTGAAATCCAGTAACATGACTTACACCGTGTAAAGCTGGTGATGTCATCAGGTACATGATTATTTTTTTTCAGAAATAAAACATTTCCAGTTCCTACCCTGAAAATCCTGAGGCTCCCATGGAGTCCTTTTCATCAGCAGGCAGGCGTTGGAGGCTGAGGGGGAAGGAGAGAGATTTTTTTTTAACTACTGATAATCACTGGCATGGGATGATTTCATGAGTTTCCCCAACAGCTTCCCTTCAATGAAAGGACACCAAGGGAGACTGGATTTGATTTAGAATCAGAGATGGCTTTTTAAAAAGAAAATCATCCCTTTTAAATAAATACAGTAGAAAAAATAGCTGAAGGGAAATATATATATAACAATTATATATGATAAATGTTATATACTATACTTAATACATTCTTCTGATATTCAACATTGATTGGAAGAGCAAGGTGACAAAGCCTGACATCGTGTTGATAACAGCACAGCGCCAGTCCTGGTTAAGGAACTGTGGTCAATTTAGGTCTTCTGGGTGTCTTAATCAGAACTTGGAACTTTAGCCATCTCTCAGGTGGCGTCAATTCATTTCTCTGGGGCTTCTCAGATGTCCATACATGTTTCTCCCTGATCCCATAGGTCCATGGTTTTACGGTTTTTCTACAGGTCCCTCCCTCATTCTAAATGACTGAACTACCTCTCCTAAGCTAAAATATTTTGCTATGTTGGGCTCCACTCTATTCCTTTCAATCGCCTCCATAGCCTGAATGCAGTCATTTCACCCACACCAAACTTCTCTGAAATTTAATTCAGTTCTCATGGTAAGAGATTTTATTTTATTCTATTTACTTTGGCCTAAGGTGACACATTTAAGGAATAAGTTGTAAGTGTAGAAATGAAATTATTCATAATTATGCACATCTTTTGAAAGTCAGAAAAACAGTGCACTGTGTTTCCATGATTGGAGGCCTATCTTTACACACTAGCAATGAAAGGAAAAATATACAGTATGTGTCAAAATAAGGACTTGTAATTGAATATAAAGAGACTTGCTCGTTCAGCCTGTATAATTTAATGTTTTTGGTAGGAGCATTTCTGTGCTGCACATGTATGATGAGAACACTGTTGGTACTCCCATCTAGAGTAGGCTTATTGAATCGTCACTCAACAATTGGAGTATCAATAGGATTTAGGGGTTTATGTTTTTAAAGACTGTTGCTCAAAACTAGAAGAACCCTTATGCATGTTTATAAAGAAGTCACTTCCATCAGATTTCATAAAGAGAATATCACCTGCATACAAAGAGAGGCAGCTTATTAAATTTACATTGTGCCTATGAGATGCATGTGATTCACAAACCATTGCCTCATTTAGAAAATGGAAGATCTGGGACTCAAACTTGTTTTAAAACCCATGATGCCTTTCTCTGTGTTCTGTATCGAATCTTGACCCTTGTTCACATGTCCATTGACAATGAAAAAAAATCTGAAGCTCAGTTGTGCTGGATGCTGCAGGATTGCTCTGGAAGTAATAGTAAATTACGGCATATCTTTTTATTTATTACAAATGATTTTGCAAACAACAGTAACGCAGTTGTAATGCAGAGACTTCACATCAGACAAACCAAAATCCACGGACTAAAAGCCCGAAAGCAAAACATTTATTGTGAAATGTAAGATGTACTGCCATGGTGAGTGAGCTATGGTGAGAAGCAGATGTAAACAGTACAGCCACAACTAAGGAAAGAGACAAGCTGAAAGGGAAAACCAAAGTGTTGGTTTATATGAGAAGGCTTGTTGTTTACTACGTGCCCATGGAAATAAATTCTACAGGCAGCCAAAAACATTTTCTTTTTTTTTTTAGTAGTTTCCACATTTTAGGACTGACATAAGAAACACCACCTCAGCTCAGAAACCTGGAGTTTCAAGGCAGCAAAGAAAACGTGACTAAACCTGACAACATTTGACACATATCCACATATATTGCCCAGGATAAAATGTTTATTTTTCTGATTGTTCATCCTGTGCTGGTGCACCTCCAGGAAGAAGGAGTGGAAATGTGGCTTCTCCCGTGCGTGTAGGCTGGGAGGCGCACCGGGGCGGGGAGAAAGAAAGCGAGAGCGCAGAGCGGGGTAATGTGTGCACTGTGTGTAAATACTGTGTGAGCGCGCGTTTGTGTCTGTGTGTCTCCGTCCGCTCGTTCCATGCTGTGCGGAAACGGCTGCTCTTCGATTTACACAGCACATCCACCCACAGATGCACACGCGCGCGCGCTCTCACACACATACACGCAGTAGCCGGAGCCGCGGCTGCCACCAGCAGCATCCAAATCACATGCAAGCGAAGGGAGATTACGGTGGGGCTGGAGAAGCCTTAGCTTCCTCGTTCTGCAATCCTCAAGCGCTCGCGGCGCTGATTGCCTTGCCTCCCCCCGTGCCCGTCGCCGACGCCTCTTCCTCCCTTCCTCCATCCCAGAGGAGATGGTGATTCGGAATCGGGGATCCAGAAGAGCAAGGGTGGGGGGAACCGTCCGTAGCGGTAGCGGCATCAACGAGGAGCGAAAGGCGGCACAGAGAGGGGGGGAAACGCGCACACAGACACCAACCAAAACAAACCTCGCTCGCCTTCGACCTCCGCGGTTTGTCAACAGATCATTTGCAAAGGAAACCTGAGAACAATCCCTAGGAAAGGAGAGGGCGAAAAAAAAAGGAGGCGGCAGGGAATTCCGGAGCCCTTTGTGCTTCCCCTCTTCGCCTGTGTTTATGCTGAACGTGGGCTCCCTGAGGAAGGTAAGTGGAGGAGCGGAGCGGAGCGGCTGGAGGGGGGTGGGGTGTATTATTTCTGCCTTATTGTGGGGTCTGAAAAGGAAGAAAAGAATCGTGAATCATCCTAGCTTGCTGCTGCTTACACCCTTGATTCTTGGGAAAATATGTCCACGTACCAGGCTGAAACTAGCATTTGTCTCCAGGTGGACTCTTGAGTGTCAGAAAGGAGATGCCTAAAGATATTTATAAGCAAGGGGCGTGAGGGGGTCTTCCTCTCTCCCCTCCCCCCTCTCCTTTAATGCGCAGAAAAGTGCTCCCTTTTTTTTTTGCTTTTTGAAGCGGGTTAGAGGGATGAGCTGTTTTCATGCTCAGAATGCTTTTATGAATAACCATATGCCTTCGGAATGACTGCTGCCGGGTGAATTAGATAGTTTCTAATGGAACATTGCACACTTGAACCAAGATGACATACTTACTTTTTCTGCTTTTCTAGACTTTACAAAACAGGAACAGCCTCTTTCTACCAGCTGAATATGATATTAGAAAAAGAAGTTGCACTTTTTTTTCTAGTTATGATTTTGATCAGAATAACCTGAGGTTGCAGGAAGTTTGATTTTCTTCCCCAAGACTGACTTAGTTTCTTCCTACTCCCTTTTTAAGTCAAGGTGCAGCCTCATACTTAAAAAGCCCTGTTGGAAGCAATAATTTGATAAGTCACAAATATACTTTTATCCGCTAGCTATTCTGACAGTTGCTTCATTGTGATATTATGTAGTTTCAGATTTTTTTAAAATGGTGTGCAACATGCTTCCTTTTAGACCTGTGAGATATTGCACCTTTTATATAAAGATATCCAACAAGCCTTGCAGACAGATATATTTAAATACAACGGACAAGTCCACATATACAGCTTATGTACGTACTGTCCATATTTATAGTACCTCTTGGACTTCATTCAAAGCAAGTTACATAATGATTAAGTGAAGCAGTGTATTTACAGTTTCTTTGACGTTTTTTCAGTTGCCACCCAAACTCCAGCTGTTGCATCAATGATGAAATGAATGGATAATAATTTCTTTCCTTGTTTCCTCACTGCCTCTAAAGACAGCGTGGACAATGTCAAGAGGCAGTAGTGTCACTTTGCAAACAACCTGCCATCCTGCCCTGGTCACTAGGAGAAACAGATTTCATTCAATAATCCTATCCTGTAATGCCCTGAAAATCTCCCAGGGTTGGTTTAAAAGGAGGGGAATAGTAACAAAGCGTGATAGCTTTCTGAAGGGTGAGAGACCTCCTGGGTGCTCAAGAAAGCTTTGCTTTTTAAAAACACAGATTTTGTTCAAGTTTATCACAGTTTGAAGAGTTCCAACCTGAGATTCATGTGAGAGAGAGAGTGAGCTCAAAACTGTTTCGCTGAAAACCTGGCCTAGTTTTGTGTTTCCTGAAACTAGTTTGATAATCGCCGGCCTGCTGTGGACCACATGGTCAGCTGTTTACAAAGACTCTGAGAAATATCAGAGATTGGAAAAGTTATTTCGAGGGGAACCACAACTATGGACATATTGGTTGGAATTCCTGTGGTGGGACAGGATGGTTGTGCTCACCTACTGCAACAACAACAACAACAACAACAAGCAAAGTCTTGTAGTACCTTGAAGTCTAGTATGTTGTATTTTACGTAAGCTTTCATGGGCTGCTGTCCAGTGCATCAGATGCATATGAAAAAGTGAGTTGCTGTCCTCAAAACTTTGTCACATAAAACTTGGTAATCTTTTAAGACTGCAGTAGTGGCTACGTGCTTCTGGAGGTTGTAGTCCAAAAAAGGTAACTTTTCCAAGTCCTAGATTTTGTTGAGAACTGTGAGGGGCAACATAAATATTTTTTTTATCAAATATAATCCCCTTTAAACCTAGTTTTGCTAGCTTTCAAACTCCATCACATATTTTCAGTGATCCCATTAAAAGCTTTAAACACACTAGTTGTCCACTGTTCTGTTATCATTGTCTTCATATAAATGTTCACGCAATCTGATATTTGTTTCAATGACCACCAACCACATTGGTAAGGAAATCCTGCTCTCTCACTGATGTTTGTACTTCTCAAGTTTAAACTCTCAATTAGCATCAGCATTTTAAATATCCTTTAATGCTTCTGTATGCATTTATTTATGTTTCCACTGTTGCTACAAGTTTAATTGACACCTTGGCAGCTTAGCATTCAACAGTGTAGAGAGAAAATTGGTTTAAAGGAGCTTCGCCTTTGGAGTGCTTGTACTAAATAGGTTGTATTGCTGGATCCATAACTCAATTTTTGGCATTCTGAATTTCCTGTTAGCATGCAATAGCCCTTAGTCAGTAATATCTTAGAGAATGCTTTAAAAGTTATTTTTTAAAAACTGTTTTCAGCTCTCTTTTTTTTCTCTACCAGCAGTTTTTTTTTTCTACACTGTTTCATATATTTTTCCCTCTAAAATACTTTGAAGGTCACTGTGACAGAATGCCTACGTCACTCCTGTCCATCATATGGAGCTCAAGTGCAGGAGCCTATGATGGCAGGAGGGGCGGAGTTAGAGGGACAGTTAGAGAGTTAGAGAGAAAAGAGAGTTAGGGAATGGAAGTGGGAGAGTTAGGACATTGAATTGAGAGAGTTAAGACAGAGATTGGAAAGTTGGAGTGTTATAGAGAATAGGAAAGAGTTAAAAGGAATAGAGAATAGATAGATGATTAAAGAATATTGTTAAAGAGGTTTATGTGAATAAAAACACCTACAAGTAAACGTGTAATCAAATCTAATTTAATCCTCAACAACTGTGATTTACATCTGTGATTTACATACCAACTAAATGATCAGTAAAACCTGCTGTGTTGACAGCACGTGTCCGAGATACATTTGGTATATTGTGGACTAGATCCACTGGTGGCAGCGTAGAAAGAGGCAACACATCCTGAGGATGGACCTGTGTTTGGGGAGAACAAACAAGGAACATGAGGAGGATGCAACAGTCACATTTTAAAATGCATCCTATCCTAGGACAGGCATTATTATGTCTCTGAAACAAAGGCACTGCTTGGATGTTAAGAGCTGACTCCTACAAATATTGTAAAGGGAAACTTTTCATGTCTGGAGTATTCACTACACTCCTATATGGAAAAAGTTCCAGATTAAGAAACCTTGATCTCTTGACTTCTCAGAACTGATAGTCACTTGTGTGTTGCAATGAGAAATACATGCTGCTGTTCTTTTGGTTCTCTCTTGAATACCAAAACACAATGTACACATGCATGCCTAAGTGTATGATCAATTCATGCTGGCCCTTTTATAAGTTTAGGTATGCTGATTTTGAATGCTAAAATATGATATTTACCACTCTGACATTTTGATTTTTGATCACCATAGAACTAGTCTGCATCCATCAGGTAAAAACATATGAAATCAGATGCTTTTGATCCTAAAAGTCACTAAACTGAAAATAATCAATTATTTTGGAAAACCACATATACATTTTGCCATGATTTCTGCAGAAGAAATTGATTGATTGTGTATAACTTTAGCATCTCTGCATTGCTTAGAAGTTTGGACAAGACTGATCCTTCAGTAGTACTTTAAAGATGAACTGCTAGTGTTTTTTGTTCACCTGTTTGTTTTTGTTTGTATGAGAGAAAGCAGATACTATTTTCTTTATGGACTATAATCTTTTTTGCTTCTACTGTGTACTTGGCATAATTATACAACAGTACTGACACATGTTGCATTTGATACTAAAACTGGGAAGTGTCTTAGTTAGCTTGTTTCTACTCTGTACAAAAACATCTGTATACAGCTGAAGGTAAGATTCAATGTTCATATTCCACTGATAGAATTGCTTCTATCACCAATACTGAGAGAGGGGTTGATTGCCTCTCCTCTACCGTCCTCAATGTGACTTCTCCCATGAACCCCTCAAAAGCTGTCTAGAGCAGTGGATCCCAGCCTTGGGTAACTTAGTTGTTCTTGGACTGCAACTCCCAGAAACCCCGGCAAGCACAGCTAGTAGTGAAAGCTTTTGGGATTTGGAATCCAGGAACACTCCGGCTACCTCAAGTTGCAAGCCACTGCCCTAGAAGATTGAGGAACAGGTTTTCAGGCAGAACTAAGAGCAGCAGGGAGAATGGAAGAAAGTACTGTGATGCTGGCAGAAACATGCTAACTAAAGCCTGGATGACCACATACACCACAGAACTTGGAAAGTTATTTTTAAAATGTAATCCATTCCTGCTACTCATTACAGTGTTTCAAAAGTATTCCATTGTCATGACTCATTACAGTGTTTAAATGATAACTTAAACACTGTAATGTGCCATGCTACTCACTTCTTTTCTGTTTCCATTCCTTAGATTAAAATATCTTAGCATGTGTAAGAGTATGGTATAAACCTAGGGAAAAGTTTCTGTCCTGATAACTCTAAAATGCTGCTTGAAATTAATATCTGATTAACTAGAAAATTGTTGCCAATAAAGAAACTTTACTCTTGCTTTTAGCATTATATCTAAGCAAAAATTAAATAGTTACTAGTCATTACATTACTTGTACATCAGCATATTGTTTGCAATCTACACACAATGGTGTAAGAATATTATAAGATATGTTGATACAGTTGTTTGGAATGCTTGAAAATAATGTGAATAAAAATACGATATCTATACTGTAAATGAATTGGTAATACAAACCACTAGGTATTTCTTTTTTTGTTTCATTTGTTTGTTTGTTTGTTTTTGCTGTTGATATTCCGGACTCTTTAAAACAATTGTGAATGCCTATAATTAGATAATGTGATGCCTAATATATAGCATAAAATATGATACAGTATATAGTTTAGTGTAATGTGATATAATATACTGTACTGTACTATGCCATAATGGCCAAAATCTTAGTTATGCATGTAGAAGGCAACAGGTTATTAATGAGTCCCTGCTGTGCATGAAAATCCCACCAACAACTGGTTAACTGCTAGGAGAAACCACTGAATAGTTACTTTGTTTGCCTTC